GGGGGGGGGGGGGGGGGGGGAGGTGTCTGAAAATCAGTGGGGGGAGGTGTCTGAAAATCAGTAAACGCAAACATTTTGGTATTTTAATAGTACAAATTTTGGTATTTTAACGGTACATCTTTGAATCTGCTGAAAAGTGTTCAGAAACGATAAACAGTATTTCTTTCCTCATGCACGCTTCACTGTAAAATTTTTAGTGTTTTCACAACTAACGTTACGGTAACCGAAATTGAACAATCACGACTCACGATATAGTCGCCGATATACCCTATCAACACCCTCTGTTGACGGACAGCAAGTAAAAAATAATTATATGACATGTTCAAAATACATCTCTGGAAATATATCAAGTGTTGTAGATAGACGTCATACGTTAATATGTAACTAGTCAGAACTCTCAATCGAAAAACAGAACCAATCTCGTTCCCCGAGCCTGCTAGAGTTACTATACTAGTTTTTGTATCTCCGTCAGCTGGTTCTGATTGACATGACCCATCTGCAACGTAAAGCATACCACATTCTAACTCGCACCCTGCCTGTTTACTTTCCATGACATGATTCGCCAAGTAACAAGTGAAAAATTCTTGCCCGCATATACGCTCAATGTCTGTTCCCTCAGGAAATAGTTAATTTTTTTTTTCGTCGAATTTCAATATTTCCCTTGTCTCTTGAAACATCAAAACTCTCGGGAAAACAAAATTAACTAGTTTCCTCAGGAGCATTAAATGTAATATTACATACTGCGAATGTTTTATTGTAACAATATGAACAAAAACCTGTTTACATGGTTTCAATAAGATATTTGTATCGAACGTGAGAAATTTACGCAAAGGAAACGACTGACGCAAAAACTAAAATATGCCAACTTATATAGGCCTCCATGCAGAATATATAGTCAAATATCAAATATATGCCGCTGAGGAATGTTTCCTTGTATAAATTTTCCCTCTTGACAATTTTCGTCTTATAATCGCAATTTCGGGTGTTAAGTTCTTCCTGAATCTCTTAAATTCGACGTTGTGACAAGCGGATACGCGGTATACTGGTACCGTGCAACTTGGCCCTTATTTTAAAAAGTACAAAATGTAAATAACTGACATTATTTTTTATCAGTGAAAATGAAGCAATCTGATTGGCTGAGGAGCCTTCCAGAGCGGGCCGGTTTTTTGCATCCGGCCCGCTCTGAAACGCAACTGCCCGCTGTGAAATGCAACTGCCCGCTCTGGTTTTCGCGGCAAAAACTGAGGAGTGAAACAATTTTTAAACGAAAAAATCTGCCGAAAACGTTTGAAAAACATAGCCTAACGATAGTCAGAATACGAATGAATTGCATCAAGCCCTAAAGGCTTCATACTAAGCACGATGTTCACGAGAATTGACAATATTTTGATAGAATTGCGACTGAAAGTCGGAAAGTATTTGACATGTATAAGAGAAAAATATATATTTTTTAAATGCTCATGTATTCGGCCACTTAAAAGCGAAAAAGTTACAGCTTAAACAGATATTGTAAAATAAATGTTTTCCCATTTATAAAAGAAGGTTTAACTGCAGCAGTGAAAACAAGTCACGAATATATTCTCTACCCATTTGTTTTTGTGTCATATATTTTTCACTGATATAAACAAACTAAAAGTTTGTGTTTAAAAATTTTCTCATCCGGACCTCGCAGCCGGTAAATAACATATATATATAAAGTATTAAAAATGTAGAATTTTCAAAATGTAAAGTCTTGAAAATACAGATAAAAACATTCTGTTTATTCTGTTAAAAAAACTACTACTCTAACAATTGAAACTTCAATTTTGGGTTGAAAATTAGTCATGATTTGTGAAAATTTGTAGAAGTTTACAGTTCTGAAAATGGTTGTGATACAATCATAAGGGACCGGTCATTAATAATGGAAGGACAAACTCTTTTCTCCTAAATTGGTGGCGGCCTCGAACTTAAAAATATATGACAAGGGGCGACCCCAATTTTTTAATAGTTTCCTACTCATTTTCAATCTCATCGTATCCCACAAAATATTTCACCTTTTCTAGTTCCTATAATCGTAGTTTCCATAGTTTATTACGTATATGCAATTCACCATAGGAAGCGGAGTAAATAACAACCATTTTGAAAACTGGTCCTCTAATTATCTAGGCAACAAAATGTCTTACACCAGTACTTGTCCCATTACCCTTTTTACACCAAATAATGTAACGAATTAAATGTTGGAGAGGGGTCCTAAATTTTCTAGACGAAGGTGGGGGCGTCTTAAAAATGAAAGGTCTTGCGATTGTGGCGGCTCTGACAAATGTTTAATATTTGGTATTTACCCCCCCCCCCTCCTTTCATTATTAATGACCTGTCCCTAATGTGAACATGTAAATCAACTATTGGTTTCTACTATGGATCAAACCAGTGCATGGTGGCGACAGGAATTTTCCAACAAAGGGGTAGCCTGCGAAGGTGAAATAAGAGCCTGCATCGATGACTAATGAATTTGAATATCTGCTCTCAAATCGTGACGCGAAATTCTCATTGGTCAGATGCTATAATTTATATGTTTCCGTCGAGCTCTATATATGTCAACTGCTGAAGCACTATGCATAAAAAACACATTAACTAATCAAATTGGTCTTGGCCTTATCTCAGTATAGGAAACAGTTGAGAAAACAGTATTTAAAACATTTAAACTTTTGCTTGAATATCTTATATTTCGAAAAACAACAGAGGAAAAACAGTATAAACTGTACGGTCTAAATTTAGTATGCACGGTCTAAATTTAGGTAATCGTTCCATGTTTCGCGCATCAATATAGTAAACGTTATGTAATGGATATTATAGTGTCCTGAAAAGTTCACTAGATACCTCCATACACATATAACACACCCTAACCCTAACCCTAACCCTAACCCTAACCCTAACCCTAACCCCAACCTTAAACCTAACCCCTAACCCTAACCCTAACCTAACCCCTAACCCTAATACCTAACCCCTAACCCTAACCTATATTGGTGCACGAAACATGGAATGATAACCTAAATTTAGTTTGCACGAAAGTTGCAAACAACACCATATAAGGATAGACATTCCATATTTGAAAAAACGAACGTTACGGGGCAGATATTCAAATTCATTAGTCATCGATGCAGGTTCTCATTTCACCTTGAAAGCCTGTTCGCAGACTAACAAAAGTGCAAAGTTCCTACAGGCAAAACTTTCCTTGGTGGCGGGAAATTGTCCCGAAAAAAATTCAATTTTGAGTTTCTGAAATGCTATTCTCAGCATTTTGAGGATACTATGTGTCAGAAGACAATTGTCTTCAACAGTCACTTACGAAACATACTTTTGTCTCCGAATAGATGCTATTTTTTCGTTACGGGGGCTCAAGCTCCCCCGGCAGGTGTGCAGCTGCCCCTCGCCCCTCTGGCGCTACCATTGGATTGAACATGCAAAATCGACATGCAGACAGAAAGATCATTAAATTAAAAATCTATCATGTTCGTTTCAGAACCACCCTCAGAGATATGAAACTGTTTAGAATAAATATGAAACAAGTTTTTCCTGTCAACTTTATCTTATATTCTACTTTTAAATTTGGGTGATTTTCACAAACACGCATGTATGCAAACTCAATCAGATGAAAGAAGGTTATAATTTAAAGTAACGGATATATACAGTAAATGAACTTTCTACTAAAAGCTATATAAACAGTCAATCAAACACCCGATGGCGATATTTGGCCTATATATAATACACGATAGAGTTTTACTAACTGGTGCAATCAAAACAAGCGTTTCGTACTTACTACAGTAACTACTACAGTTTTTGCATCTGCGTCAGCTAGTCCCTATATATAATGATGGTCCTGAAGGGGGGTCCCAATCCCATTTCCCACCTGAAATTTTGGCAAAATCCCAGTCCCAGTTGTATTTTTATTAGAAACCCCAGTCCGAGTTATTGAAATCCCAGTCAATAAAAAAACGTTATTTATGGGTGAATAAACAGTTTTAAGACCTTTTAAGCCGCCGTGTGTGCGCACCGTCCTTTGAGGTATATACTAAGGGTTAAATGAAGTATATATAAGTATGATGGCAAAGTAAATAAATAAACCAGGCATATATTCCGCTGTGCATCTGACTTGGGGACACGCATAATCAGAAAACCCATGATTCCTGGCGCCAGAATATGCCTGTTCGCAGGTAGTGCTGTGAATAATATAGTTAACAACAAAAATCATGACCAAAGACACCAAAAACGGATCAAAATTGTATTTTAAAATACTTAAAACGTGGAAAAATTGGGAATCGACTCGCATTACCTCAATCCCATCCCCATTTTTGAGGACTTCATTTCCCATTCACAGTGACCAAATCCCAGTCCCAGCAACTCAAATCCCATTTTCCCAGTCTAAAAATAGATCAATCCCAGTTCTCATTTTACCCCTTCAGGACCCTCTATAATCGTTGTAAATACTACTGTACGAGTATATATCCAAATGCTGCCGTGTTCTTATTATTCTTATAATTACAAAATGCCATATTGCCGCACGTTGTGTTCCTTACGTCATCATCGCATCCACTTACTGAAGTTCCAAAGCCAATGCACGAGTCACAACTACCGCAGTTTTCTTGATTATTTGCCACCAAACCAATTCGTATCTTCATGTTCCACTGCGACTTGCCATACTTGTAAACCCCTTGTATATTAAATCCTTCTTCATTACAGTTTTCTTGCAAATACGAATCATCGATAAGAGACTTCCATGCTTCCCTCCCAAAAGTTGTTCCTTTAAAAGTCCCGTCTTCGATCACACTATGTAACGAGTTTGTGGTGTAGTTTAACGCTATCCATTTTGTAGCACCATTGACTTTTATTCCGAGGCATATTTTGTTAAACGGTGTGTTCCAGTAAGAAGCAAGTTTAGTCTGTTTTTCATTCAAACCTTCAAGTCCATTTTTAGCTGCGTAGGTTTCTTCGTTTGTCCAGTAAGGAGAGCTGTAGTTGAATTCATTCTGGAAAGCAAAAAGTTTACTCATTTCTTTATATACTATTGCTTATCATGTTTATGCATTCGAAGAGATTATGTTAGGATATAAGATTATCCGTATACCTTGTTCCCATCTACTTTCATCACTAGTGTCCAACCTCCTTGGCCACACCCTGATAATTCAGTCATATGACAGTAAACTTGATATTGTTCGACTGAATCTGTATTTTGTAGTTGGTAAATACTATTGCTTAGTGCCCTATAAATTGTACGAAGTTACGTGAATATTAGCAAGACCACATTGTAACATCGTGTAAACTTTAGTCGGAAATTTTAGAGTGAGGTTTTGCACCACATTTCCAATAAGCCAGAAAAATTGCTGATTCTTTTGTTTTTTGCTTAATGGTGTAGAGGACATTACAGCACAGTTTGATTAAAATAACTAATTCACTATGTTGAATATAGTTCTGTCAGTTTGGTTTTAACTGTTCTTCCTCTTAAAGTCCCTTGAAATGTTGAGACATCAACCGTACCACGACATTCCAAATCGAATGCTTTTCATTAAGGTTTTCGTTGTATCACACAGTAATGGTACTGCACTCTGCAGCTTAGTTCGTTTGGGCGCCGATGTACCGGAATCACTAGGCCGCGGGTTTGATTCTTGCCAGAGGCCCTAAACTTGCATTTTTCGCAGCTGCTCCTGGTTAGGTCTAACTAGATGTGAAAAATTTACACTATAAATTTCCTTTTGCAAAATCCTTCAACGTTGGTGACTCACAAACCTGTTTCTCTGCAGTAGTTCCTTACAAGATGATAACAGTTTTTGGTTTGCTAAACAGAGTAAAATGCAAATTCTCTTTACTATATTAACCTATATGAAGTAAGTTTTTAATTATTATAGCGTATAGTACAGTATATAGATACTAAATTTGTTGTAGTAGTATCGAGAAGATGGGTTCAGTCTTAGAGTTGCTGCTCATATATAGACTCATGCAGAGGTGCTGCTCATAGACTCATAAAGCCCGAAACTGATGACTTGATATATGTCTAGACGTGTTGCACATGTGCAGAATCTCATGTCAAAGGGCTTTATGAGCATATGAGCAGCTGCTCTGAGTCCATTCATAATAATATATGCTCACAAAGCTCTTTGGAATTATATACATCAAACATGCTAGCTTTTAAATGTGCTTCATGACGGCTTATAAAATATTATATATCTATCTATCTTGCTGGAGCCGATTGTTCAAAGGTGGGGATATTTAGCACTAACCCTGGGTTAAAATTTAACCTGCTGTTTTAGTTTGTGTATTTCTACACGTCTATTTATTTCAAAACTTCATAGAAGTAAACTCCTATCGATCCAGACAAGATCTCCGAAGAAATATTTCCAAATTTATAGAGGCAAGCTGTCAGGAACTTTGCTTTGAATACATCCTTTCGATAATTACGTCATTTGGCCTGAGAGCCTCGCTCTCGTGAATCGTGAGCCAATGGGGTGGCGTAATTTACTAATGAGAACGAGGCTCCAAGACCAAAAAGTATGTGGTGACGTAATTATCGAAAGGGTGTATTTTAGGTTAACCTATAGGGTTAACCTAACCCAGCTTTGAACAACCGACCCCTGCATAATGACTTAACTCCTCTAAAATTTTTCCCTCTGCATGTTTATGTTCATGTCTATTTCTGTCTATAACGAATTTAATAGCACCAAGAAGCGGTTTACTTAGTAAACAAAATGGGACAAAACTATATAAAATACAGTATAAGAAAACAATATATTTAAAATAATTTGATCAGTCTATATAGTTTTTATGAATTTTATCATTATACAGCTGCATGTTAATGATCGAGCAGTGCTGTAGAACTAAATTTACTAGAGGGGGGGGGGCTCTCTTGACGAGCGTGAGGCCGTGAAATCGTAAAAAAAACGTGACGTCATATGACGACCAGGGGTGACCCATACGATGACCAGGGGTAAACCTACAGCCCTTACAGCGGCGGCATTTTTTTATTGGGGGGGGGGTTGCCAAAGCCGAAGGCTTGAGCCTTCTGGGACTGGGAGGTCCGGGAAACTTTGAAATCTGAGACTTTTTAGAGCCCCTGAAATGCAATAAAACCTGCTAGTTTCTCTTAAAAATTTCTTGAACGACTCTTAAGCAAGCCATTATATATGGGTAAAATTTAATCGCTTAGTACATTTTCCTTGAATAGATTTCTTTCTTCGAAATTTAATGCCTTATTTAATGCCTTATTTAAGCGTAATTTAAATTGCATTTTCCATACTTATCGTCCTTATCTTTCTTAGAAATGTCTTTTTTTCTGAAAAGTGCGAGCCCAATAATACATAACAAGAAAATAATAAATGGAAACAAACACCTGTCCAGCGTACTAATGAAGACTGAACTAATCTACATAATTATTAGTCTCCTACGCAGCCTGTTCGCGGGTCCGAGGCAGAGGAGGAGTGAGGACTATACCGGCATGCAACGCGGTCAGGCGCGGTTTTTTACATATTATCGATTTCTCGCTCTGCGCCGTCATTGTTCGGTCGGCTTTCGCTGTGTTTACACCGGCATGTAGTAAAACACTGACTACCGGAACACCGGAACACCACCGGAACACCGGAACACCACCATTTTGTTTGCAGTTAGGGTTTGGGGTTAGGGTTAGAGTTGGGGGTTAGGGATGGGGTTAGGGTTAGGGTTAGGTGGTGTTTCGGTGTTACGGTTGTGTTCCGGTGGTGTTCCGGCGGTATTCCGGCGGTGTTCCGGTAGTCAGTGTTTTACTACATGCCGTTTACACCTCGAGGTTTCAAGAGATTCAGAAAAGATTTATCGAAAAAATATTGTAAAATGGTGGATTTTTGCACTATGCATGGAAACAAAGCTTCGTTTTGGGGTGGACACGAGCTTCTGTATGTTACTGTGTGTCAAAACAGCCTTTAATTTTGATTCCGGAAGAATTACCTTGTGATGAACTTGAATGTCGTGTGGTTGATGTTTATAGTTTTACGGATAGTTCGAAGAATAGTCCTTTGTCCAGCTGTGGTTAACGGGATAAAAATTGATGAAATTGTTCGCTGATTGCGGTAGTCCTGCACTGGTACAAATTCACTGTAGTTGTGTTTTTAAGGTGAGATGATTTTTATATAAAAATTAAAATAGAAATATAAAAATGCTCCAATGTTGTATAAATACAGCAGTAATAATTAAACGTATTTTTATTTCATATCATGTAGTTTGTAGTTCTTCGACCCTAATGACCTACGGGAAGGAGGTATAAACAAAGAATATAACAATGTTATGTTGTTGGGAGTTTGACATTTCAACATCACCAACATCCCAAGCAATCCCACCATGTGACCCAGATAGTCAAGATGATGAGCTGGATAGTGTACTTCTACCAACAGAATTACATCAGCCAACTGGTTGTATAACTATTTATATTGCCAATAAACCCTGTTTGCCCTGACAGACATTCATACACACCGAATGATGGAAGAAGCGCCCAGTGTTAGCATTGTTGTAAAGAATGAAATGGAGGAAATTCAACACTATCGCCACACTATATATAAATCTATTGACTACTGTGTGATGCATTGCAAGGATTTATACTGATCAACCAGTTATCTATGCTCAAATGATCAACCAGTTGTCTATTATTTTACTCTGCCTAACGCCAGATTATTTTACTGTCTAACACTAGACTATTTACCCATCAGGAGGAGAGTGCTGACACTCAAATACTCAATGGGTTAAAAAACATTGAAAGAAAATGTTTAGCAGAAGCTGCAAAATTGTTTATTGGTGTCTGGTGTAATACTGACATTTCTTTTATTTGTAAGGATAGAGCTGGGGAACCTGTAGTGGTACAGTCTTGGTCCTACCCCGGTTTTCCTGTACTGCATGTGTTTTCGTCACTTCCCTGATTATACCATCAGTATTGTATCCCGTGCATGGACACCATCTTATCAATTATGCAGTTTTTTGACAATCTACCGTAAACCTCCACCTAAAAGCACTGGGCTTATATTCTTTCGTAAGCGATTTTTGATGGGCTTACACAAGGGGGGCTTATACATGGGAGGGGGGGCTTATATTCGGAGGTTTATGGTATGTATGGTTTT